AGCCAGGGTTCGCTAGCCGCGACATCTATATGAAATAACAAGAACAGAGACCTCGAGAGACCTCTCTGATAGCAAATTAGGTAAACCGCAAATTCAAGGCCTCTTGCTAGAGGCTTTTAACGACGCTAGAAGTACATTTTTACTTCGACATGCATCTACGATTCACCTTTTAAAATTACCATCTTTTTTCGCTCTTTACGTAGAGAAAGACGTTTAAATGCAAGTAAAAGATTGCATTTCATTTCAATCGAAACTCCACCATTGTTGATTTCGATATTACCATAAATTAAGTTTTCTTTATGTTCAAAGATAGTCCATATTCTTCGCTGCAGTCTGCTATCTTATTCACCAATGTATGTAGCTCTTCAAGTGTTTCTGCGATCAGAACAGTATCGTCGGCAAATCTCAGATTGTTTAATCTAACACCATTTAGTTTTAATACCTACGGATTGCTCGGAGAGTGTTCTATTCATTACGTCTTCGGAATAGAGATTAAACAGGGTTGGTGACAGTATACACCCTCGTGTCACTTTTTCTTCTTCTTCACGTGCCATCTCTGCGACGGAGGTTGGCAATCATCATGGCTATTCTGATCTTAGATGCTGTTGCTCTGAATAGTTCAATTGATGTGCGTCCGTACCATTCTCTCAAGTTACGCAACCATAAGATTCTTCTTCTTCCTCCTTGTCTCACACCTCGCTTTATTTCAATTTCTTCAGTGGTATAATTCTCTACTCTCACTACTGCTTTCTGATTGTAGTACATATTTGCTATTAGTCAGATGTCTCGCTTATCTAAATTCTTTTCTGTCAGGAGTCTGATTAGGTGATCATGCCGCACTTTATCAAAGGTCTTGTTGTAATCTATGAAACACATGAATACATCTTGATTTATGCCAAGACATCTTTGAGACATCACGTTCAGTGCAAACAACGCCTCTCTTGTTCCGATTCCATTTCAGAATCCAAACTGGGTATTATTGATGTCCATTTCCAGTTTTCTGTGTACTCTAGAGTGTATAATTTTCAGGAATATTTTCAGTACATGGCTCATCAGACTGATTGTACGGTAATCACTACATTGTTTGGCATTTATCTTTTTTGGTATAATAACAAAGGTAGATAAAACCATTCTTGTGGTATTTTTTCTGATGTATAAATGCTATTGAAAAGTTCAACTAAAATGATAATCGAGTCTTTTTCTATTAGTTTAAGGATTTCCGTTGGTATTTTATCTGGACCTGGGACTTTACCATTTTTCATTCTTTTTAGTGCGTACATTACTTCCTTTTCCGTTATTTCTGGATCTCCTTGTATGTTACTTAGCTTAGATTGTTATCTATCATCTGCAAAGAGTTCTTCAATATAGTTTTTCCATGTCTTCAACTGTTCTTCTAGTTCTGTTATTATGTTTTCGTTGACATTATACAGGGTTTTGGCTGCTTACGTTTATGTGTACCTGCAAGTTCTTTCACTTTTTTATGTACATACATTACATACATTAAAAATATCATGTTTTGCCTGCAATGGCTCTATTTCTTCACATTTTCTTTTATAAAAATCTTCTTTTGCTATTCTGATTTCTATTCTGATTTCTTTCTGTATTTGTTTATACCTTTGTTCGTTTTTTCCTTCCATTATTCTCCGATTGTCCATGAGAAGAAGGATTTTATCAGTCATCCATCTTTGCTTTATTTTTGGTTTTTCTATAGTCAGAATTTTCGTCGCAGGACCTGTTATCGCCATTTTTACGTTTTGCCATTTTTTATCTATGTTGTTCGTTGGTTGAGATGTTTCTTTTTCATGAAGTATTTTCAAATAGAATAAGATGGGTCAATGTGGTCGCCAACAAGTCTAGAAGATAGGCACAGTTGCAAGAAGACACAGTGTCAAGCTATATAAGGTCAGGTGTATTTCAAAAATAAAAATTAAATATATATTAATAAATAATTTTATTAAAACAAACAGAAATAAATAAATAAATAAATAAACAAATAAATACAGAAATAAATAAATAAATAAATAAAATAAATATAACAATAAATAATATAACTAATAATAAATAATCGGCAAACTCAACTATGCTGTTCTAATTTCAACAGCTGAATATTTGACTACCGATTGTAAAATCATAGACATATGCCAGAAACAATATCAAAATATAATAAAAAATATATGAAAATTGCTCACTTCGTTGGCATGGTTGTGTAAAAACTTGCACTGCATTGGTGTGTCACTTGTATACAACTATAATAATAATAGAAAATTGTAGCGTAGCAAAGTATTTCTTTTTGGATACCGTAAAGATGAAGACTAGCAACATATTCTACTATAATTCCTACACTTCATCTGAGCTATAAAGGAAGCTTACTATTATCAGTCTTTTTAATCAAAAAGTATGGTTTTGTCAAAAATGTATACGTCATGAAGAATTTCATAACTGTCTGTAAAAAATTGTTTCAGGCTAGCAAAAGTTTGATAGTCAAATATCCATTCTCCTATTTTCTTACTACACAGTGAAAGGGAAGGTAAATGTCTGTCTTTTTGATCTCTCGTCTGAATGCCCTTAAACTCACATGTTACTAGTTTAAGGTTGCAAAGCAAATCTTTGTAAAGTCTTTGCCTATATTTGTAAAATGGTCCTTCTGGGATTCTAGTGAAAACATGGTATACATGTATGCCGATTCTTCTCAGCATGTTGTAAAAAACTCGCACCTGTAACAATATTATTGTTATTAGTATCAAAGTGGGTTCAAAGGGGTAGTGAAGCGCAATATAAGATGATGTTTCCAGTTAGCATTCTCTAGCATCTCCTACTCAATCCCTATCCTCACCTCCAGGAAGTGCGGCTTGGGCTGCACGGGTGAACACTGGAAAACCTAAACAACTTTTCTGAAGATTGGATAACCAACACCAATGGAAGGCAGGGTCAGGGCTAACGAGGAAGGGAGAAATGGTCCTCCAAAAAGTGGGTTGGTGAGCCAGGTTAGCAGCCTATCTACTGTCAACAAATTAATGCTCATAGAACAGAATATAAGCCTCGGAATTGAACGGATACACAGATGACGAACCACTCAAGAAAAAGGACAAAGATACCAAATATTTTACGAATTAGCACTTGGAACATCGCATCGTGGAACAAACGGGAACAGAAAGTTGTGCAGGAATTGGAACTTCATAAAATTGATATATGTGCCTAAACGAAACAAAAAAGAAAGAGAAAGGAAGTGCCAATAGAAACAAATTTATATTCCAGTACAGCGGAGTAGATAAAAGCAGACGAGGTTAAGCAGAAGCAGTCCTCTTAATGCACAATAAATATAGTAACAATATTCAAGAAATAAGAAACATCAACGAACACATGATGCTGGTATGCCTTAAACTTAACCAGACGATACTTAATATTATCCCTGTATATGCACCAGATAACAACAAAAACAAGGAAGACAAAGATGCTTTTTATGGACAGCTCCAAGATCTACTGGACACCAAAATAGCTGGTAGTAAAATAATAATTCTCGGCGACCTAAACGCCAGAGTAGGCAACACACCTGTGGCTGGAGTTACACAAAGATTTAACGGAGAGACGCTTAACGACAACGGAGAAAGACTTCTAGAACTTTGTCTAAAGAATAACCTCCGAATTAACAATACATACTTTGACCACCCAATACAACATAAGATCACCTGGTCAGATATAAGAGGACGTAACTCTATGATTGACTACATTATAACAAACAGACAAATACAGCCCAAGAATATAATAGATGTGCGCACTTTATCTTCCGCCAATGTAGGATCCGATCATGGTCTGGTACTAGGAAAAATAAATATAGCAATCACCACACAAGGCAAGCGAAATACAAAAGTAAAAGAGAAGTTAAACATAGACAGCTTAGAAGAAAAAGGGACACAAAAGTTGTATAGAAACAGACTAACAGAAAAGCTAAATAGCCATAACCTAGAGACTAAAAAGAACATAGAAGAAACCTGGAAAAGTATTTAAAAAATGTACCTTACAAGCAGCGGAAGAAGCTTTAGGTAAAATAAAAGTTAACAATGAAAAGAAACAAGCTTTCCTGAGATACAAAGGAGTGAAGACTCTGGATGCACGAGAAGACTACGTGAAAATCAGGAATAGAGTAAACCAAGAAATAGATAACATCAAAAAAGAACACTGGGAGAAATTTACCAAAGATACGGAATACAACCTTTATGGATCCCAGAAAAAGGTGTGGAAGATGATAAAAAGACAAAAAACAAGAATGAATGAATTTATACGCATAGATAACATTACGGAGGAACGATGGACTGAGCATTTCACGAAATTATATGGAGAAGGAGAGGAAAAGAACAGAGAAATAATCAAAAATGAAACCCGCCATAAAGGACTAATATCAGAAGAAGAGCTACAAGAACGAATAAAAAAAAATAAAAAACAGGAAGGCATTTGGTCCTGATAAGATAAACAATGAACTGCTAAAATATAGAGGAACAACACTACGCAAATGGCTCATAAAATTATTCATCGATATAATAAATACCGGAGTAGTGCCAGCGGAATGGAAGGAAAGCCTCCTGCTACCGATACTTAAAAAGGAAGACTCGAGAAATCCTGAAAATTATAGAGGCATTATTCTGATAAACAGTACATTAAAATTGTTAACGGCAGTCATAAAAGATAAAATCGAGGAAAAAGGGAACATGGCAGATGAACAAAAAGGCTTCCGGAAGAACCGGAGCACAATAAACGCAATTTTTAATTATCAGACAAATAATAGAGAAGTCTATTGATTATGGAAAACTAGCATACATGTGCTTTGTAGATTTAAAAAGTGCTTTTGACAGGGTGAAGCGAAATGACATCTTAAATTTATTACAAGCTGAACAAATGGACCATTAGATAATAAGACAATTAATGAAATTAACAAGAACAACAAGTCCAGAGTTATAACACCAACACGATAAACAGAATGCATAGATAATAGTAATAATGCTTACCTTTTTTTCATTTTCAAGCCGCGTTAGCATAGTGGTAACTTTGGAGCAAGTTCTTCCATCACTTATCTAGAAACAATAATATTTCATTAGGAATAGAATCATTAAATCATTATAACATAAAAACTTGAAACTATATAACATGATTAATTTGTAACAGAGATGCAAATAAAAAAAAATACATCAGCGGAAGAATTGTACCAACAACTTGAAAAATGCATTCATGAGGCTGTAAGTAAAGCTTTGGGTTATGACGACAAACATGAAACAAAAAATCAAGAATGGTGGTCGGAGAATATGCAAACGTTAGTAAACAAGAAGAAAACTGCGTATCAGAAATGGATGTCAACGAGAAAGGAGGAAGGTTACAAGATATAAATAACAACAATTAAATCGAGATGTAAAAAGAGAAGTAGTGAAAAGTAAAAAATGAGATGTAGGATCAAAGTTGTGCAGAGGTGGATAGGTATATGGGTGGAACAAGACTTGGGCAAGCTTGAAAGGTGAAGTCTCTCCGGAGGGAAAGATAGGAAAAATCTAACTTACAGCATTGATTATAAACCACTACCGGTAGTGGTTTATAATCAATGCTTACAGTTAATAGATCTGAAAAAGTGATGAAAAAGTGTCAGTTCTACTGAAAGAGGACAAATGTAAATTCCAAGAGATTGAAATGGTAAAAATATCTGAACACACACAAATAATTGAGATAACAATCGGAGAGTTAAACGATGCCCTCAAAAGATCGAAAAACGGTAAAGCAGCAGGACCTGGAGACATCCCAATTGAGTTGGTAAAGTATGGACAAAAAATATTACAGGAGATGTTGGTTCAACTATTTAACAAATGTTTAAAAGGACAAAATATCACTGACGATTGGAATATTGTATACATCAGCTCAATATTCAAGAAAGGGGATAAACGAAAATGCTCTAATTATAGAGAAATATCTGTTCTCAGCTTAGGGGGACTTTGTACGAACGAATAATAAAAGAAAGAATAAAATCAGAATACGAAGACATAGAAAAACAAAATTGATTCCGTGCAGGAAGATCGTGAACTGATGGTATATTCGTTCTGCAGCAGGTAATCGAAAAACGGAAGACAAGGAATCTATCTACCCACTTATTGTTTGTAGATTTAGAGAAGGCATACGATACGGTACCTTTGAAAAAACTGTTTCAAACATTGACGAAAGTAGGTTTTAGTAGAGAGTATGTGAATGCTATCGCAAATATATAAAAAATGCAAAAAGTGTTGTTAAAAAAGGAAACTTTATATCTGAATCATTTCCAATAGCAAAGGGGCTTAAACAAGAATGTTGTCTATATCCGACCTTATTTCAAATATATATTCAATCATCGCTGGAGCAGTGGAGGAAACAAGTATCCGGAATGGGAATAGACATAGGCGGTGGTAAATGTCTTACAACTTTATTTTTACGATGTAGTCGTATATATATATATATATATATATATATATATATAATATATATATATATATATATATATATATATATATATATATATATATATATATATATATATATATATGCAAATAGCCTTAATACTACGACGCGACGTCTACGAAACATCCTTTGGAGGTATATGAAAAATTCATCATCTATTTCTTTGTTTAAACAAAGCTTGGTTGGTAAACAAAGCAAACAAACAAAGTGTTAACTACTACTGATGTAGCTTGAATCGACGGCTTAAAAAATTTCTAAATACTGCATGGAATGTCTGGCTTGTTAAACCTGTACCAAGTTAGGTATGACTGGCATTTCATTAATTTACATCTGAGCATAATATGTTTCCTTCAAGTCTGTCCATCAGTATCTGTTTTAAGCTTCTGCAATGTAGTTTCTTCTTTCATTTCTTTGTAATATTTCACAATTACGAGACATACATACATTACGAGCTCAAATTATTTATTTGTTGGTTGGTTGCTACAGTTTTGTTACAATTACATACTGTAATTCGTCTATGGTTTTAAGCTTCATGTACTCTGAAATTATTACATACTATACAAAAACTTTTCGTATTAACGTGTTGTTTTTTCCTAAAGATGCGATGTGGATTTTTAGCCATTGATTAGAAACTTTTTCTTGATTTAAACTTTTTGAACTTTGAGGCTTAAAAATATTTGTTCTTAACTTATACCGACATAAAAATTATAATACTAGATAACATTATATACTTACATATTCCAGTGGAAGCTCCTTTAACTTTTCCAAATCGAATAAGGTACTATTTAGATATCTATTAAGGATAAACAATTGTTGCAGAGCTTCGCCCAGTACTGATTCCGCCTTTGAATCTTCTCGTTCCCTGCATGGAAATTGCAATTCATTTTCGAATGCTTTAAGGTTTTTGTCAGAACATTCTTCGGAGCCTAATGCCAAGTTGAATAAGTATATTATAACGACGAAAAAGGTACCTGGAAACAAAAAAGATTTTGGTAAGAAATAAATACAATATGTAATGTTAAATATGTTGCAACTTTTATTTTTAAATATCAAATAGATCTTAACAAGTCCAAAGCAACGTAATAAAAAATATTTTCCTCTTTATAAACAATTTTGTTTGTTCATTGGCGATTTAATACCTCCATGGCAGGTTGTCACTCCATCTTTTGCTCAGTCATCCGATACTTCTTCTACCGATTGGTTACTAAAATCCTGCTATTATAACAACATGGGTCTGGGTGACCTTGATTGGTAAAATCATGGATGAAGCCCCCAAAGCAAAGAGAATCAACATTTATAGGGATATCCAAGGATATAGGGATATTTACATTGCCGTAAATAACCTACTCATCAAACCAAAACTGGAAAGGTATTGCGAAGATCTATGAAAAAGAACAAAGTGTCTTTAATATGGGTGTTGGTTTATGAAGAGGTAAAACAAAGCTCGAGAAAAATATTTGTAGGCCCCAAAACATTGTAGTAGCTAATATAAAATCATTAAAAGAAACGGAGAGCCACTACTTAAGGTACACAGATTAATAAAATAATCAAGAATATTAATAAAAACTTTGAGACAATTTGATGAACCTCAATATACGAGAGTGGATAGCGGGTAGGAACTCCTCTAGATAGTTCTGTCAGGAAAAATGAATCAATCCCTGCCCTCCGCAGATTACAGGTGTTTCTTGACCCCGAAAACTAGTACCCGTTTAGGGTCCCTTGTCCAGGGTCACGGATGAAGTCCACATCGTCAGCCACGGCGGAGAAGAATTCCTTCGGTACGTTGTGGATGGCGGAAGAGGCAATTCCTTGATTTTAGGGATAATATAGAATCACTATATTGTGATGAAGGGCAGCAGCGATCATCAGTAGCAGCTCAAAGCGTAGAGGAAATAATCCTGGATCGACTTGAAATTGGGCTATCACAAGCATGACTGAAGCAGTTTAAATGGTTGTGATACTGCGATGGGGAAGGCAACGGGAAACCACCGCATTATTATTCCCTAGTTCGATCATAATGGCACTATCATATAATCAGAAAAGGTATACTGATCGTGGTCATCGGACACTAAGATCCGGCAGAAGAAGACAAGCACACAGGGCTTCCCAGGTCGTTATCCAGCGAAATCCCTGTGATACAGTAAAATAAATCAGAACAAAATCAGGTAATAAAATAGGCACATGGAATGTGAAAATTCTCTACGAACCTGGTAAAATACAAAACACCATACGCGAGATGATAAGACTCAATTTACCAGTTCTTGGGATAAGCGAAATGCGGTGTCCAGGAACTGGTAAATGTAACACGATGTCTTCTATTCCCGAAACGAAGGTACTGACCACCGGAATGGCGTCGCATGTATTGTACTTACAGAAATCTCTTGCTGTATTAAATCTGTAAGTTACCTTTCGGACAGAGTCATCGTAATGCAATTAAACTCAAACCAGTAGATATAAATCTGGTCCAAGTTTATGCTCCCACAGCCAGCAGTAGTAAAGATGACATACAGAATTTTTATGATGGTATAAAAAAAGTAATGAGTAAATGGGAGACTTCAATGCTTAGGTAGGAAAAGGTAGACAAGGAAACATTATAGGAAATTTTGGACTTGGACAACGTAATGACAGAGGAGACCGTTTTGTAGAATTCTGCGTAGAGAACAATCTTTGTGTGACAAATACATTCTTCAAACTACCCAAGCGTCGTTTATATACCTGGAAGTCACTAGCAGATACTAAAGAAAAGATCATAACATAAGAAATCAGATCGATTATAGAGAGGTACCGAAATTCAATCAAAATAACTAAAAAACTACCTGGAGCCGGTGTAACCTCAGATCAACTTATTAATCAGTGATATAAAAACTCAAACTTAAAATAGTTAAAAGTCAACAAGCGACTAACCGAATAAACACTGACTGTATTTAAAATAATAGTCATAAAATTACAAAAGAGATGAAAAGAAGTTCAAAAAATTGAAAGAAACACATAAGATCGAAGACCACTGGAATCATGTCAAGAGCATTATGCAAGAAACAACTAAAAAGTATAAAACTATTAATAATCGCAAATAACAGTGGATGACTGATGAAATATTGGGACTAATGGAAAGCAGGCGAAAACAGAAAAATAAAAACACTAAAGAATTCAATAAAATTGATAAAGAAATCAGAAGCAAAATCCGGGATGCAAAGGAAATATGATACAGCAACAAATGTCTTAAAATCTCAGAACTGGAGAAACAGAATGACAAGTTTAATATGCACCAAAAGGTGAAAGAAGTAACTGAAACTAATAGATCAACTGCAAGTAGTTTACTTAATAAACAAGGAATATTATAGTCATTGAACAAGACAGATTAAAGAGGTGGAAAGAATATATTAAGGAGCTGTATGATGACGATACGAACAGTAAGACTGGTGTGTGAGGAAGTCCCAACTGGAAGGAGACCACGCGGACGCCCTCGTCTCCGGTGGCGAGATAATATAGCAGGAGACCTAAGCACTATGGGCGTGGAGAATTGGATGGAGGTTCAAAACCCACGAAGGGTTGTAACGCCACGGAGTAAGTAGGTAAGTAAGTAATGATGACGATGGAACAGAAATTCAAATCAAAAATATATCGACTGGTCCAAACATAACACTCCATGAAATGGAAAGAGCTATAAAGCTATCAAAGAATAGGTACGCAACCGGTCCAGATGAAATTCCAAGCGAAATAATCAAACTGCTCGACGATAAGGGCAAACCTCTTCTAAGCCTCTTTAATAAAACATACGAAACACATGATACTAAGACTAAGAAGAAAAGATATTGCGCATAAGTCGTGACGTCATTGGAGAGTTTGACGTTCGAAATGTCAGTTTTTTGTATGCATCAATATATAATCTTTAATAAATAGTTTGCAGATATTCTTATGTGTACGATTATTGTAATTACTAAGACCGATTTTGTGCTACGGGAAGATCCTATCTTGTTATTATAGTATCATGACGAAACATGTATCAATGTAAAACAGTGTAGCGATCATCGCACTATCAGTCTGATAAGTCATGTACTGAAAATTTTCCAAGAATACTGCACCCAAGAATTTACAACAAAATAGAAGTACAACTAAGTGAAAAACAAGTTGGTTTCAGAAACAACCTTGGAACCAGAGAAGCACCCTTCAGTTTGCAGGTTAAGGTTCAAAGATGTAGGGATATAGAACAATCAGTATGTATGTGTTTTATCGACTTCGAAAAGGCATTTGATCGAGTAAACGATGACAAACTTATGGGTGTCTTGCAACAGGTGCAAATTGATGACCAAGACCTCCGTATTTAAAAAAAATTGTATTGGCATCAATGTGCAAACATACGAGCTGGACACAACACGAAAGAAGCAATGGAAATACGATGTGGAGTGAGGCAAAGATGTTTTCTATCGCCTCTACGTTTAAATATCTATTCCGAATTTATTTTTAAAGAAGCTTTAGTTGAAGATACACGGAATTAATGTCAACAATCTCAGATATGCAGACGACACGGTACTTATTGCCTCCAATGAAGAAGACCGCAACGACTTATAAACAGGGTAACCAAAGCATAAAATGAATATGGGCTAAAACTTAATACTTCTAAAAAAATTTGTGGTTGTCAGCAAAACGTTACAATCACCCAACATCAGAGCGTATGGAATAGAGTAAGAAAGAGTCCACAATATTACTTACTTGGGTGCAAACGATAACTGAGATATAAATAAAGAAATAAGAATACGCATTGAAAAAGCCAGAGCCGCCTTCTATTAATTAAAGAAAATTCTAATTAATAGAGATATTATGTTAAACCTTAAAATCAGATTAATAAGCTGCTATATATTCTCTACATTGCTGTATAGTATGGAGAGGTGAAGAGCCCTTACAGAGACATTAACGCAAAAATTAAAGGCCTTTGAGATGTGGATTTATCGACGAGTATTGCGGATAAGTTTGGTTGATCTAATACGAAATGAAATAGTCTTACATCGAATGAAAAAGAGCACAAAAATATCAAAAAAGATACAATTTCGAAAGTTACAATATTTCGGTCATCCGAACAGGATGACATCCAGAGAGGTATATCCTTCTACACCTCATAATACAGGGTGAGATCGCCGGAAGAATAGGCCCAATCCGACGAAGAACATCCTGGCTCCGAAATCTCCGAGAATAGTATCAAGAGAACACCGCTAATTTATTTAGAGCCGGCGTAAACAAAGTTATTTCGGACAGGGTACTGAAAGAAGAAGAAAATTTACGAGAAATTAAAAGAGTCACCGGAATTTTGACTGGACATTGTCGTTTAAAAAATTATTTAAAATTTTAATTATTCATCGAAGAATAAAATACAGAGTTAGATAGAAAATAACCTATAAGATTCTGGACAAAGCATGTAAACAAAGACATGTCAATATAACTTACTAGAGGCGGGGAATGACAAATATATGTGGAGAACGCTTGACTGCAATGTGATTTCGACATTGTTAGAAAAGTACTAATTTTTTGACGTATAAGAAAACGATTGAGATTACTATTATAAAACTATAATGAAAAATCAACTTATTCTACAAATATAACAAAGACTTATCTGGACGATCACTAATGTATTGCTGTAACAATTAATACTAATCCTTACATGTCTGTAAAAAACCGACTTGTAGCAGATGAGCATAAAAATCATTTCAAAACATATAAAAAAAACAAAGCTAAATAGTAAATTCTTCGAGTGAAACATAAATTTATTTAACATAATTTAAATCATAATTTAAAATCACTTTTGTTTTTTTGCAATAGAGTATAAAAAATATATACTTACATGATTTGCACCGTAATTTTAAAGATCCACTAACTAATCTCATTTTTTATCTATATTGTTGTATCTACTGCAAGTCCATCAAACTGCCGTTCATTATATACTTTTGTAATCGGTGTATCCCCCCAATTTTTGATTGATATCTTTAATCCAATCATAATCGTAATTTTTTAAAATTTTTATTGCCAAAAATAGTATTAATTGACGCAAAGTACTTCTATGTTTGTTTTGGTTTCGGTTATTACGTCGGTGCCAAAATTCAGAGACGGCGTTGTTTCTTTTTCATTGTTAAACTCATTACGTCTGAAGTACAATACAATGTTATTGATGAAGGTGCCTTATGTTCATTAAACGTGAAATGGAAAAAAAATCAAGATCATACCATCAATTCTTGATATAAATATCGTCAGATTTATAAAGCTTTGATACAAAGACGTAAATTTTTTAAATTTTTCATTTTCACATTGCGTTGATATCGCATTTTAGTTTTTCACAACTTGCTTACCTGATAAAGGAATTTATAATTTAATTAAAAATCCTTTGTAATAGGTATATATTTTAGGCCCAAACGGGCTAAGTTAAAAAGACAAAACGTTTTCGGAAACCATGTTCCATCATCAGTGTCCTAGAAAATAGTTAACCACTTAATTAAAAAGAACATAGGTTAAAATTTTGACTAAGGTAAATGAAAAATGTGGTTAATACTTACTAGGAGTACATGAATGTAGCCACCAAGATTAAATATGTGGGTAAAAACCCGATAACAGATGTTTAATTACATTTAGTTTTAAAATTATGTTATAATGATTTAGGATTATAGAGTTACCGATGGATTAGGTAACATGGCGACATATGACTCCACGTTGAAGTTGCTAGTCCTGAGACGGTATGTCTTCGAGGACTGTATGAGTGCAACTGATTGGCAATGACATTTGATGACAATATTGTTAAGTTATGATGGAAATTATCACAGAGCAGTCAATGTAGCTGTATGTTTCTACTTAAGACAAAAGCCAACGTTGTTTAAAATTGTGAAAATTTTAATTGAATAAGTAGAAACATACAGCTACATTGACTGCTCTGTGATAATTTCCGTCATAACTTAACAATATTGTCATCAAATGTCATTGCCAATCAGTTGCACTCATACAGTCCTCGAAGACATACCGTCTCAGGACTAGTAACTTCAACGTGGAGTCATATGTCGCCATGTTACCTAATCCATCGGTAACTCTATAATCCTAAATCATTATAACATAATTTTAAAACTAAATGTAATTAAACATCTGTTATCGGGTTTTTACCCACATATTTAATCTTGGTGGCTACATTCATGTACTCCTAGTAAGTATTAACCACATTTTTCATTTACCTTAGTCAAAATTTTAACCTATGTTCTTTTTAATTAAGTGGTTAACTATTTTCTAGGACACTGATGATGGAACATGCTTTCCGAAAACGTTTTGTCTTTTTAACTTAGCCCGTTTGGGCCTGAAATATATACCTATCACAAAGGATTTTTAATTAAATTTTTTATACATGGTATACAGCCAACTACAGGAACGTAGATTCCTTGTGGAATTTATAATTATTTTTTAGATAAGCAGGTAATATTCTTATAGATCAAATCTTCTTCTGGCAGTACCGTCTCTTATCGGAGGTTGGCTACCATCACAGCAATCTTTACTTTGTTGGCTGCAGCTCTGAACAACTGTATTGAACTGCATCCATACTACTCCCCTAAATTTCGCAACCCGGAAATCCTCCTACGTCCCACATTTCTCTTTCCCGAGATTTTTCCTTGGATTATGAGTCTAAGCATAGAGTACTTTTCTCTTCTTATTATGTGGCCCAGATTTTCCAGTTTTTTCGTTTGTATGGTTTTGATGACTTCGCATTCCTTCCCCATCTTCAGCAGGACATCTTGATTTGTTACTCTTTCTGTCCATGGTATTTTCCACATTCTTCTGTAACACCACATCTTAAATGCCTCAATGTTTTTGATGTTTATCTTTTTCAGTGTCCAGGCTTCCATGCCGTACAGCAGAACGGAAAAACCATAGAACCTTAACATTCTCGTTCTTAAATTTATATTTATGTCCCGGCTGCATAGGAACTTTTTTATTTAGACAAACGATTGTCTCGCTATCTCTATTCGCCTCTTGATTTCTCTTGTCTGGTCATTAGTATCAGTGAAGCAAACCCCTAAATATTTGTAGGACGTAACTCTTTCAACTGGCTGATTATTTATGGTTAAACTCACATTGGTGTATAGCTTTTTTGTTGCAATCATGAATTTAGTCTTTTTGATGTTCAGTTTTAGACCATACTTACTGGTATGAGTTTTTATATTTTCCATCAAAAACTGTAAATTTGCTAGGTTATATGTTACTATTAGCGTGTCATCAGCGTATCGTATATTGTTAAATAACTCTCCGTTAATATTCATACCAATGTTTTGCTCTAGGCGCGCTTCCTGACATATTGTTTCGCTATATATATTAAATAATAGTGGAGAAAGCACACAACCGTGACGCACACCTCGACAAATCTTAATTTCTTCGGTTAACTCATTATCAACTTTGATTTTTGCTCTTTGTCCCCATTACAACCTGGATATGATGTTAATGTCGCGACTGTCGATGTTTTGCTTCTTAGGATTTCATACAGCTTTTGATGTCTGACTTTATCGAAGGCATTCTCAAAACCTACGTAGAGGTCTTGGTTTACATCCAAACATCTTTGCATTAACACACTCAGAATAAAAAAGCGTCCCGTGTTCCCAGTCCACCTCTGAATCTAAATTGTGTGGCGCTTATGTCCTCTTCTAATTTATTAAATATTCTTTTGTGAATTATTTTTAAGAATAATTTTTGGTGTGTGGCTCATCAATGCTATAGTTCTGTGGTCTGAACACTCTCTGGCGTTATTCGTCTTCGGGATTGTGACGAAAGTCGAGGAGAGCCATTTCTTTGGTATGCTGTCTATTTTATAAATTGTGTGAAAGAGGTTCACCATTATTTTAAGTGCGTCATCGTCTATAAGTTTCAACAATTCTATAGGAATTTCATCTGGTCCTGCAGCTTTAATCCCTTTTGTGTTTCTTATAGCCTATTCTACCTCAATTTTACCTTTTTTGTCCTTTACGATGGATGCTAGTTTCACTTTTTTACCTGTTATTTCCTTGATCTTTTTATGCATGTTAAAGCTATCGTACTTTCTATCATATTCTTCTATTTCCTTACAGTTGTCCAGAACCCAGTTCTCTTTGGCTTCTCTAACTTTTTTCTTAAATTCACAGTCCACTTCTTTGTGTTTTGTCTTGTTGGTTTTATTTTTTCGCCTTTCCTCCATGAGATGCAAAATTCCGTTTGTCATCCATTCTTTTTTCTTAATTTTGCTTGGAGCAATAAAAATAACAACGTATAGATTATCATTATAAACTAAAGAATACTCAAAGATTTCATTTAACAAAAAGTCATATTTTTTCACTGTAGTGAAATCATTTGTAAAAAGAATTAAAGTGCCACCATGAACTAAAATTGGCACGATCATATCTAGTATTTGTGGTATACTTTTCTACAAAAAAAAACTCGTTGACTTCAAGCCACTACTTTGTAACCGTAACTATTGGGGAAAATTCTAATTCCTATTAAAACAAAAATAATCCATCTGATTTTTATATCTTATAGCATGAATGTTAATCAGAACCATGCTTAAGTTTTTATGAGGTATCAGGTGTCAGGTAAGTTTTATGTATTTATATATTTTTACAGGTGAATAATTTTTTCCGAAATGAGAAAGGACTTAAAAGCAGCAAGATCAACCTTGCACCTCAATTGGACCAATTCCTTAGACATCGTAAAATTCTAGAACAATTTTTCGTAGATATTCGGTCTTAGTGGGAAGTCTTTCGTAAACCAAAAAGAATTTAACGCTTGTGTTAGTAAATTTATAGGAACATACTAAAGCAGGTTGGTCTGTAGAAAAGTCAGATGTAGCTTAAATGCGTGGAGTTAAAGGATCTAGATTTATCGATGATTTCAAAGTTCCTTTCTCAATAGGATTTTAAGATTGGCAACTTTCGATGGCTTGCTTGTCTATGAGTATTTTTTGGGTTTTCGCTTTATTTTTGTTGTTGCTTAAAATGGTTATTAAATTTTTTGTATGGCTTTATAGAAGAATGCTAAGAATATCATGGATAGCAAGGATCACAAACAAGAAAGTTCTAGGAAAATTGACGAAGGAACTAGAGATTGGGTTTACGATCAAACGCATAAAATTGTAATATCTGGGACACGTTATGAGAAATCAGCACCGTTACTCCCTGCTGCAGTCTATATTGCAAGGTAAAGTCAAAGGTAAGCGAGGACCCGGTAGAAGTAGAATATCATGGCTGTGGAATTTAAAATGGTTTAAGAAAACCTCAACGGAGCTGTTTCGAGCAGCAGCGAGCAAGGTTATGATTGAAAATATGATTTCCAACATCCGAAACGGATAGGAACCAGAAGAAAAAGAAGAAGAAGCTAACGGGTCGTCTGATATTCTTTAAATTTATAATTAACTCAGATGAAGGCGCTGGTTTAGAATATGAGGATTTTTTAAACCATTTAATATTTACACAAGGTGGCCAAAATCAGAGTGTTTTAGATTTTATACCTATTTAAAGAACAACTCTCTGTGTCGACATCTTAAAGAAAGGCATAATATCCAATATATAAAGTCGCACTTATAGAGGTTGTTCAAGAGTAGTACCTATACAATATTTTTATAAAAATGCGACAAAACGTAAGCAAGTTACATAAAGACAGTAGCAAATTAAAAATGCAAAGAGGTGTCAGACAGGGTGACACACTATCACCAGAGCTTTTTGCAACTACTCTTAAACGTGCTTCTAAAACCATTAATTGCTCATAATAGATTTGATAGAAGATAACTTAGACGAAATTACATCATGTTGAAAGGACTAAAAGAGCCTGTAGAGAAATCGGTTTAAAAATACATAAGTAGAAGATAAAAATTTTTTCAATAAGAACCGTATTAAAA